TAACTTCTTATGATCTCTGTCCATCTGTTTTTGCAACTATTTATTAATGTGAAAGATGAGAACTTCTCTAAAAAGGAAATAACTATGATCGCTTGTTTATATTGTAACATTGATATTTGCTTTTGSAAAGTGTTCTACTCTTGTTATGAAGTCAGATTTCTTTTCATCTTTATAATCATCATGATCCTCATTTTTCTACTTAAATTTCAATTCATACCAGTCCCAAAGTACCACCTCAGAATCAAAACTTCAGGAGACTATATTCTTGTCATTACTGTAACTTAAGGCAGTGACTTTCAGTTGAGATCTGAATTCCGACTCTGAGATTCAAAGGTTCAGTTTTAACCATTTATATATATATATATATATATTTCTCTTGGTAAGATCTGTTATGACTCTTGACTGGTATTTTCAGAAAAAAATTGTTTAATTCTTTTAGATGCCTTGAAAAAGCAGAGCTGTGAGGTTTAGTCAAAGTTTGGATAATCACTGTAGCACACTCAAAATGTTTACTTATTTCTTCTGTCCACGTTCATCCAACTGTATAGTTGTTTCACTAAAACAATGACGTGAATAAGCTTATGAACTTGGCTTCTCATTTTTCTTGTATATTGTCAGATATCAGAATTCCATTTCAGTGCAWCACATTTCTTTTTAAAAGTAGTTAAGCCTGGTTTTTGAGAAGTTATTGTTTTTCTTGGATTTAAGTCATATGATGTTATTGTGCATCCTGACTGAATAGTTAAGCAAATTCTTCTTGCATAGACACAAACAAAAGTGATATTTAAAACTTACCTTTTATGAATACAAAGAGCAGTAAATTTAATTCTTGATGTTTGCAAATAACAATGCACAGATATCTTGACAGCAAATTGAACAATATAAAAAAGCATAAATATTTCTCCCAAAGCTGGAAGCACTTATGTTGTCTTTTTAGCTCTGTGAGAGGGAGTAGCTAATAATTAGCTAATGATAGCTAATAAAATCACAGCAGTATAATTGTGCCACCCAAATTTGAGTGCTGCGCTATGTCTGATAACACCCGGGAGGGTTTATGCCACAGGAAGAGGTTGATGATGAGTAGTTAGAACTTAGATGCTTTCAGTTTAAAAGATTCAGTCTCTTCTGTCCTAGTTTAAGGAGACGCTTTGTTTGCAGTGTGTGCAATAGGCTTAAGATGCACAGTTTTACCATTCTGATTTCCACTGGAAAACTGCAGTGGCTTATTTTATATTTTAATGATGGTGTGCCTTTTTTCCAGTGTTTGCATTTGTTCGTGTCGAAACACAGACATCTATGTATTTAACACCATTGGTAATTCATTTCAAATGTTTAGATAGAACAAATGTATGTCCTTTATCTCTATTGGTTAGTAAAGCAAATCATTGTCTTCTGCACAAATTCAATAAAAATATATAAATTATGGTAGTACTCATTCTGGAAATGTGTATTTTTATTTGAAATATAGTAAACTATTGAAATTGCAAGATTGTCGAGGATTGTAATATACTTAGTTGCATGAAATGTATGGGAAGGAATGAACGTGATATTTTACTTACATTCTTATTATGGAAAGATGCAGAATACTGGAGGCTATCTTATTTGGTGTACGTACCAAGTCCTGGAAACCCTGTTAGAGGTATATGTTGTACTTCATGGTTTGCAGTTGCAAGTATATGTTTGCACTTTGGCCAAACAGTTGAGCAGGAAGTCTGTTTTTCCTGAAAATAGTAATCAATTTACAGAAAGACTCTAAGAAGATTATTGAAACAGAAATCTTTTGAGGCTCTGAGAAGAACTAACATTTTTCAAAGTGCTACAAATTTTGAAAGCACTTCACTTTTAATTATGTCTGAAACTGAAATATTCAATTTCAGTTGGTCACCTTAGTTTTCTGGGTCCCCATAAATAAGAGCTAAGGTTTATGCACCTCTTCTCAAGGAACTTTTCTGTTGAAGTTATGTCTTCCAGCTGTATATGTGTCACTGGAAAGTTGGCATTAAATGAGCATGTATCTTGCAAACACATTAGAAATGTTTTTGGAAAAATATGGTGTGAATATAAAGCCAAAGTAAATTGCGGCTCTTACAGGGAGAGTCATCTATCCAYATGGCATTTATCCTGTTCAAAATATATGTACAGGGAACTACACTGAAATTTCAACTTATCCTCAATAGAAGAAAACAGATACTGCTAAAGTAAGCAGAGAAAGATTGAATTTTTAAGACAGTGACTGGACAATTTAATGAAGTTTTAAGTGGTATTGTACTTGGAGATCATTTCTGGTGTGAATCACTGAAGACATGTATATCTCATCTCCCTTGTTCTTATACTCCTCCCAATGTATTCTTTTTTGGTCTGTCTTGTAGATTGGGTTATATGACTGATTAAATAAGATTACCCGAGTCCTAGTGTTGAACAGGATAAAAATTAATGGGATTACATTACAGTAATGTAAATTCAAGCTGTGCTCTATGAAAAATATTCTCGTGGTTGACTTGTGAATTGAGAGTTGTGGAGTTCCTATTGTTAAAGGCTTTAAAGAACAGTTCAGACAGGCTAATTTAATAATGTCTGCTTATGGTCTCTGTGTGTGTTTTTTGTTGTTTGCTTGTTTTTTATAACAGTACAGTTCATATATGGATTGCCAGGAAATGGTTATCGGGAATTATCATCTAAGAGTTCCAGCTCTTGGAATCATTTGTTTGGTCACATAGATTTCTAAGACTAGAAGGCTTAGGACTTTGCCCGTTCTTATAACTGAAGCTTAGTTTTGGAATTTGTACAACTTCAGAGTCTGTCTAATTTTTTTCTTTTTGCATTTTGTATGGTATGAAATACTTCATTGAAGTTTGTGTGTGTAAAACTTTCTCCTCCCCTTGAAATTAGGTAGCATTGTGAATGCACTCTCAAGTTTGGTTTTTAGGCTATTTCCAGGGCAGCAAGATTCAGAGAGGATCTTGTCTGAACTGTTGAGGATTCCTCATTGATATTTATTGAAAACAGCAACTGCTTTAAAATAACACGAAGTATGAAACACTAGAATTCTTTCCGTTGAGGTAATGCTGTAATAATAATATCCATTTTTCTTGCAAGTTGTGTGGTGCATAGCATCCAAGAATGTCTCTTCAAAAAGAGCAAGCTCAATCCATATTTGTTGAAAGCCTTTAATAAAATTATAAACCCTTTTGCAATAAAGAATCGCAGAGCATTACACAGGTGGATAACACTATTTTGTATGTTTTCATTTGTAACATGACAGATAACTATTAAGAGATCAATAACCTGCCACTTGGCAATGGTCATACAATAATTCAGTGCTGATCTCCATACTGAGCCTGATTTTTTTTTTTTTTAAACTGTGCTTCTTGTGGCCTAACATAGAAATCTTAAAGCAATCATTAAGGCTGTTTAGAATTACACAGTTTCTTTTACTGAAGGCAAAGCAGCACTGCTGTGACTCAGCAGTCTGTATGCTTAGTTATATTCTGGAGCTCCTTTTGAAAATCATTCCCTCATGCTTGGCTGTTGAGTTGAAACTATTTTCAAAAAGAGCAAAACTCACCGTAAAGAACAAAATGTTTTCTGTAGAAAGAGCTAAGGAATGCTTTTCAAGCACTGTCATTGTGTTTTTATTATTAAACCCCCCAAAAAAACAATACTGGCATTTCATGAATTTAAATATATATTTCAAAGTATTTGTATTTATGTGATATTTACCTGTTACTTGCAAAACCAGTGTTGACCAGCTTGTATTACTATGCCTGTTTGGGCCACTTGCTCTATTTTGCTGGAGCCAGCAGTCAGGAGAGGAAGCATTAAGACATGAGCAATGTAAGTGTTTAAAGGGATTTGGTGAAAAGTCCAGGTACTGAAATAGAACTAAAAACAGAAATTTCAACAGTGATGTGTAAAATAGTTTAAAATAGTATAGTACATAGAACAAGTAGGAACGTTCCTTTTAACTCACAAACAGTAGTACAAACTCAAACAGATGTGGCAAATTTGAGTTTATCAAAGGGAATATTTAGTCTGTGAACATTGTTACTGCAGAAGATGGCTTTAGCTACTGTCTCAGCAAGATTAAAAAYGGAGTACATGGTATATAGGGTAACCAATTTGGAATTTCAGTGGAAATAGATTAGACATTCAATGATTATGAATAACCTATGTAATGTACAAGAAGTATATGTTAAACTACAGGTTTCTGGAGATGTAAACTATAAATTGATATAATCATCCTCTGCTGTTAGAGCTATGAAGACCATTTCTCTGAGTGTGATTTTTTTATGTTTCTCACTCCAAATTTTCATACAGCTATGTGTAGTGAAGGTAATCAGGTCACGTCATCAAAAGAAGACTTCTAATTGGAGTCCCAACTCAGTGAAGCAGTCAGTATAGTTTTGATGCAGTTACTAATAGGAGGACAGCAAGACACTGTGTCAGATTTTCTAATGAATTGAGACTAATCTCTGTGTGTTGTTTAGTTATCCTTTGGAGTCTTTGTATGTTCTTAAATGAGTATTTGCTGAAGATCGCATTCAGTTATGTGAGCCAAAATGAAAGTAAAGTGGATTAAAGCTGTAGCACGTGGAATTAACATAATTTTCAAATTAAAGACTGTGTTGACATGCAACTCCCAGGAAATTTAAGGCTACTCACTTAAATATGAGTGGAAAATATATGCATATATTGGATTTAAAACTTCATAAATGTCTATTTTTCATTTTTTACAATAATGAGGAAGGGAGGTAGGTTTAGCAAAGGCTAAACATGTAACAACAGAACAGCAGCTTTTTTCCTTAACTCCCAATCAGTAATTTGGTGTATTAGACCATTTAGACCAACTTCTTTGGGTCCTTCTGTTAAATTCCTCACAACTCATAGCCTAGCACAGATTTTTAAGCAYGCACAATTTAGGAAAGGAACAATTACGTAGTTGTGAGCCATTAGAAAAGCATGGTAACTTAAAAGAATTTTTTGAAAAGCTCCTAAAGGTTTTAAGCTTTTTGTATTGTTTGAAGTTTATAAATGATCTGATAACCATCACCCCAGGCAAAGAGCTGTTTTTCTTTGGGATTATAGTGTATAATGGAATGGCTACCCTGACGTTTTGGAAAGTGCAGTACTGGGATCTCATACGTACTTACTGCACCCACTACATCATAAAGGCATTGTATGCGAGAGGTGCCTCCACTAGGAACATTATATACAACATAGAGTATATTGCATACCATGAAAGCAGCCTCAGCATTTTTGCTACTGCAAGAAGTGTCCCAAGTGTTCTCTACTGACATGGTCATGTAGTTGATTTTAGTAATTACAATATTTCCTCCAGTGTCTGGTTCTGCATGGATTGCCCAGAGGCCTTGCTCATCAATGGCAAGATCTATTTTTGTAGCTGGAGAAAGCTGATAGGCAGGAATCCTTCCAGCACCTGGCAGTAGCATCTGATCAGTTACATTTCTTTTCTGGATGTTATATTTAATTATCTCATTTAAGGAGCCATATCTGTGATAGAACAAGAAACCCTGATATATGGTGTGTCCAGTTCCTTTCCAGGSAAGTGGCAGGGTGACTCTGCGAGCTCTTTGTGTGTGATTGCTTTCCATGAATGACAGGATATTTGCAAATTCCAAAATAACATTATTCACAGAACCACTTAATAAATAAATCTTTGCATGTTTTTTGCCAGGATCTTTCATCCAAGAGCCATGTATCTCACCAGTCTTCTTAACTATCTTTAGAGACTTAATACCTGCAAGCATGTAGTCACAACCTGTAAGGAAACATCCAAAGAGAACAACATGTGAAGTAAGCATATCTGTGAATTTTCTATTTTCATTTCTTTGATTTAATTAGTTTCCTTTTAATTCAACTGTAAGGCCAGGGTTAGTAAGTCAGTAAAGGTGTCAGCGATGATGTTATATTAAGGAGTGTTGAAGATAATTTTATGATAAATTTAGTATCTTCTCAAGGATTTTTTAAAAATCTTCAGCTATGCCTGCTGTAGTGTTTTCTGCTCTATTAGATGCATGTTTTCCCAAAGGGGTTCTCTTCTTGTATGTGAGAAGAGGCTAAGAGCACAGTTAATGATTAATTATCTATATTGGTTCTCTTATTTGGGAGTAACTGACTTCAGTGCGGTGTTTGTTAAATAATCAGATTTTATTTCTTATTGAAAGCATATAGATTAAAATCTTTTCTTGAAATGTCATGCATATACTGTTTATATTTTGGGAATTCTCAGCCTCTTCCTTACATTTGTAATGGAAAAAAAAACATAAAAATCATTGTATTACAAAGCCAAAGCACTGGATTATCTTCTCATTCACTTTTCCTACAGCTGCTTCACAATGGAATCAGTAAAAATAGATTACAGAATTTTCCYCAGTTAATGCAATCTTGAAATGAACCAATCAATATATTATCTCTGGTATCAGTCCTTATGTTAGAAGCAGAGCTGGTAGAGTTGCATAGTACTTTATCTCACTGTGGGGATAAAATTCCCACCAGCAGAGTGAGTCATAGTATTGGCCTCATTTTTAGGTGTTTAAGATCTTTACACAGGTGTTTAAGACTAAAAAGCACTAAGCTTGTGAAGAGTCAGGTATTTAAACCCTAAGATCTTTATCAAATACCATCTTGTTCAGCAAAAACTTAACTGCAAAGCATATTAACAAGCTTGCTTCCCAAAAGTACTCATAAATTACAAGAGATGCTATCTGAAGGTTAAAGAATTTCCCTTAATGAAGTACAGCCATTTTAGTAAACAGAACAAACAAAGCCCTAAGGCAGGGAATTCTGGCAATAGATGAAAAGAGGAAAGCAAAGGCCGCCTCCCTTCTTGGCCYGATGTGAACCTACTGAAGTCAATGGCAAGATTCCAGTTGCCTCTAGAAAGCAACCTTTGTCATTTCTGTGCACTGATACCTCTACCAGAAACTTTGAATACTGAAGGTACAGCATGGATTTTTGCTGGAAGACCTTTCTCTGGATGTAGTTTCTCTGAGCAAGGCACAATAGCCTTCCTAAAACATTTATTGATCAATTAGATTGCAAAAGACTATATATAACCTTTGAGTCAAAACACCAAGGCAGGCTTAGAAGCATGCTCGTCTGAAGGGGAGATAAATAGAGCTTTCTCTGCAATCTGTGATTAGTTTCTGTCTTCTGCTTCATAACCTTCGGTAGGGTCAGTTTCTGTCTAATTTTGACAAAAGTAATACTGCTAGGAACTGCTAGAATAAATGCAAATGTATTAATTTTCAACAAGAGGTGAGGGAAAACTAATTTTTTTCCCCTCACACAACTCAGAAATAATTTTCCAAGTGTTCTTATTATAGGCAGTTTAAAAATCCCTTGATTCTTCTATTTCTTAAGAAAAAGTCCTACTTTTTTCTGGATTTTTTTGTTTTGTTTTTAAACTATGTATGTAAGAGATCATGATATTCAGATTTCTGAAGTATATGCATAGACTTAGAAGCAGGATAGATGGTCAGCTATTTTTAAGTAGCCTTTTATATTTCCTGTTCTGCATTCCTCAGTTCATACTCCTTTTAAATGCAAATGAAACAAGGCTACTTTAAATGTATCTAGARTATTTACTTTACATCAATCACTGAACTTTTTTTTTAAGGTAAGGATACGTTTTAATGATTATACTTCATTTGYTGGGAGTGGGGCGATGGAGGGGGCAGGGAAAGACAACACAATTTTTCATTCTAAGTACCTTCAACAATTTTCAAATCAGAATTGAGTTTTACTTGCAGCACAGCCAGTATACCATCTTGAGAGAAGGGGAGAAGGAGAGAGTAGAGATAATAAGAGGAAAAAAAGAAGACAGTAAAATTGGGGAATAAAATGTAGAAGTGAATGAAGTCTCTTAGTTCTTGAGTTAACTTTGGACTTGAGTATAGCTCTAGTACTTGAAAATGAAGCAGTGTTTTGGGGGACTCTCTGAGAGCATACCACCTTCCAAAGCCTTTTACATTTCTTTATATAAAAGTCCTTTTTAAAAAGGATTACTATTTATGTAGATTCAAAAAGTGATTATCTGTGGTATTCGCATTACAGTAAAATCTATTATTCCTTTATTAGCATACACACACTGACTAAGGGACTGGCTCCTTTTTATCAAAGTTTTAGAAAACAATCTGTTCTTACTTGCATTAAGCATGAGTTTCAGTTTCCTGTTTTCTTCTGCTTCTTCAACTAGCTGCTGTTTCACCAAGTCTTCATCAATTTCTACACAAGTATTTGAATCTGTGAGAGATCCAAAATAGTCAATGTCCCTTTGTGCTCGTTCAACTCTTGTTAGCAAATTTTCTACTTCACTTTTAAGCTCAGTCTCATAACTGTTCAGTCCTGCCAGACGTGGCATTATCATCTTTGTAAAGTCTCGAAATTCTTCAACATAATCCAGTATATCTTGGTTGCAYTTTTCCAGCCTCCTCTTGAGTTAGAACACAGAAAGAAAATACATATGTATGCAAACTTAGTTTATATAGATAAGAACACAAATTATGTATGCATTCTCTACTTTGCAGTCCCCCTCCCTCGTCTATTTCAAACCAGTGGTCTCTTGCTGTATATCTACGTAAAGAACACCTACTAGACTGACAGTAGTATTCAGTTATTGTTAAAAATAAGCACTTTTTCTTTCTGTGGTTTCTGACAACCGGATATTGTATATTGCTTCATACCCATACATTCAGGAAATGTGCTCTGGTTGAAACAAAGATACTTCAGGGCATATGATCTCCAATTGCTGGTTTTCTAGAAACTTTTCAGAATCCTTCTATATGACTACTGCTAAAGCTTTCATTTACAAGTAGTAGACTGAAATGCTCACCTCATGTTAGCATTTTAAGATGTATGATTATAGCATGCTGATACTACAAGGTATTATGCAGTACTAGTAGATCTTTACTGAAGAGAAAAAAGCTAGTGCTGACCAACCTATACTTTCATATAATTAGTTGAAAGCAAATCCCTCTTTCAGTYTCCCAGCTGTATGTAGATCCTTTCAATTGCTTGTTAAAGTGGAAATACACTGACAATTTAGAAAAATGAATCTTAAGCTACCTACAGTTAGGTTCAGCAATACATCACAAAAAAATCTAATCAGGTTTCTATCTTCTTGTTAATACTTGGTACCAGTTCTGCTAATAACAAAATGATTATTGTTTTATAGTGATAGCTACATGTGCAAATGCTGTAAGCACTAAATTTTAGATACCATAATACTAATACAAATGATGGCATATAACTTATAGTCTTATATCTATTCTGCTGTGAAGAAAGAATGATATTGTAATTGAGACTATGTGAATTAAGTCCGTAATTAACAACTTTTTTTTCAAATAAGAAATTGGGAACTTACATTCCTGATACTGGTTAGAATATAAGCTTTATGAGTTTATACACAGAAGAATATACATCCATTTTTCAATCTACTTTGCAGTTAGAGTATTATTGAACTATATAGATAACACATACCTCTAAAGAAAGGAAACGCCGGTCGATGTAGTTCATCAGTGCTGCATCTTGTGTTACATATTGGGCCTCTCCCATGACACTTGTGAAGAATGRAACTAATAATAATCGGAGTTTCAAGGCTATCATTTTTCATAAAATTTTGAAAGAAAAAGTAGTGTATGTGGCAGAGAGGCAAGTACCAAACAGTTCTACCACTCGAGAATAAGAGAAGTTTAATAGATGCCTAATGCTGTGATGCGAAAAATAGCTAAAAATACCGAGGCTGAAAATACTAAAAGGACTTAAAATGTCTGTTTAAGCTGCTGTGGTTTATCATTAAAAAAAATAAAGTTGTGGAACAGGAACTGAATCTGTTTATTTCTAGACGCCAGATGACTGCTTTCCAGTTTGTGATCCTATGATCAATCCCAGATGTTGAGTACTGAGTCACATAAAGCCTGTAGGCCAGATTTTATTAAATAGAAATAAAAATAATTTGTTTTTTGACCATCCCTCCCCCCATCTGCTTTTACTTATGATGAACACYAAAGCCATTATATACTTGGTATAAATTAGTGTAGTTTCACTGAAATTAGTGGAATATTGTGGTTTTTTTTCCCTTTCTTGCCCTGTCCCTGCAGGAAGATCTCAAGTCAAATGTCTGTAGCTGTTTGAGCAAGCATGGTTGTTTAARTTGTTTTACAGCACTACTATATTGAAAATTTACAATTTTCAGCTCTACTATAAAGAAGTTGAATATCAGAAATGAAAAGGTTGTTTATTTTTATAGATTGTTTTCCTTCCTCTTTCCTTCAACTGTTGCCCATCTCAGTATATTTGAGTGTTTTTCTAGCTACAATTAATATTCTTGACAAAATTTTGTATCAATTGAACGGAGTCTTTGATTGTTCCTTTTCAGAGTCATTACTCTACTTAGGATAGCTCTTAAAAATATTTTATTTCTTTTTATTCTCTTTGACTTCCATGGCTGACTGCTGTGTTTGAAGAGAATCGTGGCCGTAACACTGTATTCCCTCAGGAAATTAAGGTATTGGGACACAGCCTGAAGCCAAACTTAGTTCCTCTGTTTCTGTATCTCTGAATTTGCCACATCTTCACTCTTTTTGTTTTCTATCTCTACAGGTTTTTCTCATGTTTACAGTTTCCCTTTCCTTCATGTTTATGCGCATGAGTTGTGGCTGAATGCATCAAAATGTCACACATTTACCTCTTGTTTCCTTGATTGTTCAAAGGTACAGTTCTGCATGACTTGCAGGCACGGATAAGTCTGTTTTTAATGCTGTTTTATCCTGAGAGTTTACAGGCAAAATCAATGACATACAGTAAAATAGGTCCTTCACTTTGGCGTTATATTGCTTCACTCAGGAACTCCTGCTTGGGAGGGTAGAATACTTCCCTACTTAGGCCCTTCAAGGGCCATGCACTGGGAATAGATACCCTTGAAAGCATGTTGTCTTACTGGATGAGGTCTTCTAGAACACCTTGACCAAGTGCACTGTTGTCTTTTCACTAAAATATTAGTTTCGAAGACTGAAAAGACATGAAAAAATGATGCCCTTACTTCCTAGGTAAGCCTGGAATCTTGCAAAGTTGCTCTCAGTTTGCTGTGGCTCTCATAATAGTGTAAGTAAATGATCAGTAGATGAAAACTATAAGATTAAATGGACTAATTTGTTCAGTTCAAGGAGAAATCACACATCTGTAAAAAAAAAATTTACCACAACTTTCCTGCAGTTTGGACCATCATTTACTTCTGGTTAGGTCCAGGAATGGCAAGTCCTATTTTAAGGCAAAATGAAATAGGAACTTAACATTATGATTTTTAAGCTGTAGAAAACTGTAGTCTGGCTTGTCCTCTAAAATAAGATGATAGGCTATTTGAAGTATTTTATTATAATAAATCATAGAGTATGAATTATAGCAGAACTCACTATTGCAAGTTTATATTTAGACATGGTATACTGGCACCTGTTGCTACTTTTACATCTAGGGAGACTTGTTTTTGAGTAATCGATAATTATAGACTATTCTTCAGATGTCATTAGGTGACCATTATCATTATCAGTTTTAAAGCGTTTTCTGAATGAATCCAAAATACCAAAGGATGCCATAAGCAAAATATCATAAGCTTAAATATACAAGCACAAAAGCATATTAAAGTTCTTGTATGTACATATGAAAGCATATATACATATGCAAGCATATTAAAGATTGTATATTAAATATACAAGCACGAAAGCATAAGCAAAGGATATAGAGATACTATTTGTGTTCTTCATCTTAACATAAGAACAAATTATTCTCAATACGCATTGTTGTCCACTGGGACATGGCTACATAAATTTCTTTCTTCTTAGTGTCCTGTTTGTTACCTGGTGAACCTACCCGAGACTGAGATCTGTGGAGTTATAGAACATTTTTATCATGAGGAGCTTTGATGCTTTTTTCTAAAGCAGAATAATAATTACAAAAATTTTACTAGTTTGCTTTATGTCTTGTATTTTTTTGCAGCAATATGTATTACTATAACTTCTGAAATCCCATTGGGCTCTTTATATTTTCTTTGGCTGCAAGAACAGTATCAGGAGTGAGATTTGTGAGAGAGAATACACTACAGTAAAAAGAAGTTACTTATCTGAGTTTTGGACTTTGCACAGACTCTTCCACTAGGCGTCTCTCAAGCCTTTCAAATTGGAAGGCAGATTTCACTGAAACACTGCTCTAAACCCTTTAAATAAGATAAAACATCCAGGAAGAAACACAGTTCAGATCTCCAAAATAGAGGGACATATTAGAAAACAGTTAGTAAGCTAGGACTGTAGCATAGACTTCAGAAATCTGCTGCAGCGGTGCTGTGCTCAYGAGGGTTGAGGTCTGAGACCTCCAAGAAGGTGAAAGCTGATCCAGCCTGGAATTGGTGAGGCTGTAGGTGTCCAGTACMATCCAGGAAAAACTAATAATGACCTGAGCACTGACTTTAAAAGAAAACACAAAGGCAAAACGGATCCCTGCTTTATTTCTAATGATTCACAGCTACTTAAGTAATCCACGGAATTTCATGTGATCATAGATCGTGACATAGATGCTGAATAATCCATGATCAATTTCTTTGGATATTCATTTGGTTGTTGAAGCAATGCACGTTGTGTTACAGATCATTCCCTGTACTTTAAAACTTGATTTTTTTTATCCATGTAACTAAACAAACTTAGAATTGTACAGTTCAAYATTAAATAATATTTAAATGTGCACTGCTTTTGGCTTAATTTGTGAGAAATCCACTTATTGTGAATATTCTCACTGCAATTTCCTTTTAAATATTCACATTCATTAAACTTATTCTAAGGAAGAATATGAAAACAGCCAGAATTACTTTGCATTAAATTTGAAACGTATACAAAAATGATTGTGAACTGATCCCAGTTCAGTGGAAAACATTAATTATTCTTGTGGGCCTTGGGTTAGGAGTGCTTTTGAAACAGATTTTCTGTGTGTGCCTCTTGACTTATTTTGATTACAATCAGAAGGGTATTACTTTAAATATCATGTGCCTACAAAAACGTGTTTTTTATGTGTAAAGTTTTTTTATAAAAAGGATCASAGATAGTAACTTAATACTATTTCATCATATTTCAGTGTTTTTCATTTATTGATGAATTGAAGAGACTGTTTTATAAGATGTATACCTATTTATTGCAAAGAAGAGAGGGTATCTCCATTAACATGGAAAATTTGTTGAAACTTAATAAGTAGTTTTCCTTGTGAGATCGCTAACTGTAACTGGTGGAAATACCTTTCTGATGCAATAAAAAGCTTTTAACAAGGTAATGTACTCTGAAACTAGAGCAGCAAGTTCAGGACTCTTCTACTGCGTTGTTTAATGCTAAAAGTCAGAGACGACATTAAGTTTCYGAGTGACTGCTGATGACAAATTCAGAGATTATGGTGATGACTACAGTACCAGAATCTTGAGCTGAGTAGAATGAGTTGTGCTAGCAAGTGTCTAATTAAATTTACCCCAAATCTAAAAGATAGGAAAATGTTTATGAATCAGGGGGAACTAGGACAGAAAAGGCCCTGAAGGGGCCCTGCAAAAGTTGATGAGAATGGTTGAAATTTATTGCACTGTTTTCATGTTACCAATAAAGACAAATTTATAAAGGGAAAGTCTGAGAAATGGCACACTATCTATACTTTGTTGAGGGCAAAATATGAGCCATTTCTGAACTCAGAGTTGTGCTTAGTAACCAGGGGCATTATACATAAGATTTAAAAAAAAGTTAGAATTGGCAGAAAAAAAAATTAAATTCTAATTACGCTCTACCTTGCTAAATCTTTTTGCTGTCAGCCAAATCTTGAACTTTCAAGCTAAGCTTAATGAGGCCTGCTGTGTTCTTAAGTTTCTACACCTGTGTTTTGAGGCTTTTGCTTCTGGAAAAGCTGGTTAAATTCTTGCTCTGTTGCTGGTCGGGCATATATTTCAGGTTGTTGTAGTTCCTGAATGCAACTCTTATTTCCAAAGATGCTGAGTCCATTTCCCAGCTGGAGATCAGGGAATACATTATTCTCTCTGTCTGATAAGAAAAATAACTCTTAGTTGAAATTCTGATTTCCACATATATGATTTCAAAGTTATCACTCACATAGACTATAAAATAACAGTAAAATCAGTAGTTACTAAATATGATGATATGGTAAAGTGYAAAGCAGGAGGGAGAGCTGGTAAGCACAGAATGCCAAGTGACAGAGAATGATTTTTTGATACATGCTTATGTGATAAAGCTCAGAGAAATCTTCTGGYGATCTCCAGGTCAAGAGAGGACATATTAAACAAACCTGAAAAGCAGTCAGCAGTACATCTTTCAAAATTGACATTTTTCAAAACTCATTGTTTCAAGAGGCATTAATATTTACATTTAATGTAGGCTTTTTCTTATCTACTCACTAGAAATGAATTGAAAAAATTCTGGAAATGAATTTAAAAAATGATTTTTTAAAAAATGAAATGAATTTTAAAAAGAGATTCACAAGAATCYCCAGAACTGGAAGTGAGGTCTATTTCAAGGCAAAAGAGGATGACCTCTGAGCATGAGCCACATGGAAAAAATGAGAATTCATGTTCTTCGCTCTCTCTCTACCATTAAGGTT